GTTGTATGCTTCAGGTGACAGGTTGTGTGCTTCAGGTGACAGGTTGTGTGCTTCAGGTGACAGGTTGTGTTCTTCAGGTGACAGGTTGTGTGCTTTTCAGGTGACATAGGTTGTGTGCTTCAGGTGACAGGTTGTATGCTTCAGGTGACAGGTTGTGTGCTTCAGGTGACAGGTTGTGTGCTTCAGGTGACAGGTTGTATGCTTCAGGTGACAGGTTGTGTGCTTCAGGTGACAGGTTGTGTGCTTCAGGTGACAGGTTGTGTGCTTCAGGTGACAGGTTGTGTGCTTCAGGTGACAGGTTGTGTGCTTCAGGTGACAGGTTGTATGCTTCAGGTGACAGGTTGTATGCTTCAGGTGACAGGTTGTATGCTTCAGGTGACAGGTTGTGTGCTTCAGGTGACAGGTTGTGTGCTTCAGGTGACAGGTTGTGTGCTTCAGGTGACAGGTTGTGTGCTTCAGGTGACAGGTTGTGTGCTTCAGGTGACAGGTTGTGTGCTTCAGGTCAATGCTCCTTCGGGGGAGCTGGTCTCTCAGCTGTCAGTCCAGCACAAGACCTCTCAGGTCAGTAGTTGAGGTGTCAGCTCCACCACCAACAGGGCACCAATAACTGCTCCATTCCTATGCCATTCAAATTCACACAAAAGACCCCTTGCTGTCCCACTTAACAACAGTTAGTTCCGGCTAAATCCAGAAACATGCACATATAACTGCATAAGGCAGTCGCTGAACGGGCCAACACTAACAGTCGCCACCAGAAATGCAATTTATTGTTGATGGAAGTAGGCAGTCTTGATAAGCTGGCCATACTCGCAGAGTATTATTGTATAAGGCACTTTCACAGCACAAATTTAAACTGGCCACCTGCCATTTTCTAAACACAAACCACTGAGGGCACAGCTGTACTGGCCATGGGAGCCCTAAATTGTCGGACTCAAGGACTTCCTCCCGTAGTCCTATCCACCCTTAAAAGTGGTAACAACTAGCGGTAAAAATCACTTACACTGGTTTTACAAAGCATTGGCTAATTTGTCTCAAAAAGCCAAATCTGCTGCCTCTTAGCTTCTTCCTAATTTGTTTTATTCACATTTCAAGATTCAAATCATCAGGAATCGGTGAAACATTTCCGTACTGTCTGTTGTTGAGAACAGCGATAGAGAATAATTACCTGATATGTGTCATCTTACGGAATGCAACTTTTGCTTGACTTTATCTAGTTGTAATCTGTCATGTAACGTCCGTCCGATGTTGTGATTGTTCTATAAGATGTTAATTTACTGTGTTTACTGATTACTAGAATGCCAGCCATCACTATCATCGTGTGTCTTGATTTTAGGCATGGGTCATCATCTCACATGATCGTCAGAATCATGGATCAGGTCTGTGTTCTTGTCCCACCCATACCGTGTGGCTAGGTATTTTTCTCTTTGTCTTCCCTTGCTCTGTTGCCATCAGATTTGCCAGATTTCACCAAGTTATTGAGTTTATTCCCTCTGCTAACCATATCCAACACATTTTGCCTATCTACATCTGTTTTCTGTTTCACTTAATGGTTTTCATCCTCTCCAGAAAGATCACCGCTTTTCTTTATTTTTTTTTTTCTACTTTCCGTTACCTGAAATAAGTTGTCTATATCTGCAGTTTTGTCTCGTATAAAGGTCACTGTTTTTACTTCATTCATTAGTCCTGAGAGTCTACTTTGCACTGTTGTTCATTTTTGGCCAAAAAGTTTGCCTTAATGTGTTACTTTCTGTGCAGTCTTGAAGTATGTACTGCTATCTGGGGCAGCCTTCCATGTGTGTATATGGCTGATACACCTATCTTAAGTTTGTTGTGTGAATGTGGCTACGTGATCAGTTGTGTAGTGTTATGAGGTACCAGATAATGACTTTTTCTGATCTTTCTATAATAAACTAGTTATCTTGAGCTGGTGTTGTTTGTTTTCTGATTGCTTTAATTATCTTTTTCTGCTTCCATTTGTTTTTCTTTCAGCCCTTTGTTTTCTTGTCAGACACGTCAGTTTTACTGCCTTCCCCAGGTCATCTGCTTATTGGCTGTGTTTCAACGCCTATACAGCAATACAGGTTCTGTCATTATCAAGTACCTTGCTGACTAGAGTAACCAATCATGCCTCTCGACAATCTGTCATCGTCAGCAGCATGTATCATCTTATGTGTTGACACCCATCCATGCCATGATAAAAGGATGTCACAGTCATCTCACATTGTCTTCCTCTGTCTCTTTTTCCACAAATCTTTCCAGGTGTCACAATATACTCCAATTTAATTCTCATGACAATACAAACAAGTGATGACTGTCTCTTTTCGATGTTTGTGGTAAGTTGTCTTCGATCTATCTCTTTAAAACATCTGGGTAGCTGTTTTTGGCTGTCCAAGCAATCCCAACGATTCTTTTATTAAATCACATCTCAGAGGCCCCAAGAAATTGTTTGGCATGTTTATGAATCGTCCAGACTTCACAGCCATATTTTAAAACAGGCTCTATACAGCGTGAGAGAATTCTTTTTCTAACCTCCAATGGCAGGGATTTATTGCATAAGATGTTCTTCATTATATACAATATAGTTTTAGCATCTCATATTCTATACAGCACTTTAAGAGTAATTTTCTCACTACAGCTATCTTTTAAATTCTATTTGTAGGGGGGACTTGGCTAAGCCGGCCAGCAATCTCTACCTCCACAATCTCACTGGGATTTTGGAGACGGCCATCAGAGCGACGAATGCTCAGTTTGATGACGGGACATTCTCCGACGTCTGGATGTAAGGTTGCTAGACTTCTCTGCCGGGGACACTGGCTGGGACGTGTTTAGTCTGGAGTACAGGGTGGATGGGCCTATCCGAACAGTTGAGTCTCAGCTTATGTTGTTGTAGTTGTTTGTATCCAGGCGTTGGATAAATGTCAGCTAGATTCATAGTTAAATGTTAATAGAGCCAAAATGATAAATGTTAACAATATTCATAGTTAAATTTTAATGGAATCAAAAAGATAAATGTTAACAATATTCATAGGTTAAAGTTAACAGAGGCAAATAGATAAATGTCAGCTTAATTTATAGATAAATGTCAGCTTAATTTATAGATAAATGTCAGCTTAATTTATAGATAAATGTTAACAGAGGCAAATAGATAAATGTCAGCTTAATTTATAGATAAATGTCAGCTAAATATTAGATGTCTTCATCATGTTGCAGATCCTTTGCAGAATGTCATTGTCATCACCACATGCCAGAAAGTCACTCAATATCTTGCCAGATTTCCCTCCATGTGAACTTCCATGTGCAGGGCTTCCTTGATATCCTCTGTCCACAATCCTGCTGGTCGACATCTGCCTCTTCTTAACCTAACCCATACCCTCCATTAACGTTCTCTCCAAAACCATTATGGTCGCACTATTTCAATTTGCAGGAAAACAAAAATTTCAATAAGCCAGTCCTCCTGGATGTTCAGATGCTGATCAGTCAGTCGTCATCAGCTGGTGGCCCAATGCTCAGTCAGTCATCATCAGCTGGTGGCCCGATGCTCAGTCAGTCGTCATCAGCTGGTGGCCCAATGCTCAGTCAGTCATCAGCTGGTGACCCGACGCTCAGTCAGTCGTCAGCAGCTGGTGGCCCAACGCTCAGTCAGTCGTCAGCAGTTGGTGGCCCGACACTCAGTCAGTCGTCATCAGCTGGTGGCCCAATGCTCAGTCAGTCGTCAGCAGCTGGTGGCCTGATGCTCAGTCAGTCGTCAGCAGCTGGTGGCCCAACGCTCAGTCAGTCATCAGCAGTTGGTGGCCCGACGCTCAGTCAGTCGTCAGCAGCTGGTGGCCCGACGCTCAGTCAGTCGTCATCAGCTGGTGGCCCGACACTCAGTCAGTCGTCATCAGCTGGTGGCCCAATGCTCAGTCAGTTGTCAGCAGCTGGTGGCCCAACGCTCAGTCAGTCGTCATCAGCTGGTGGCCCAACGCTCAGTCAGTCGTCATCAGTTGGTGGCCCGACGACACCCAGTGCTATGGGACAGATGAAACCATGACAGTTTTTCCCCCTGTTCTGGGTCCATGAAATTCAAAGAATCTTTTTGGCATTCTTCTTTTTTTCCTGAGTGTTTATCGCTTGGAAGCTCAGGGGGAAAGTTCTAATCTGTCCATTTCTTGACTTTGGTCACGTTCCAAAACTTGAATTTGGTGTACACATATCTGGCTTATATGTATGCAGATTGTTGGTTCCTGGCCTCTCAAGCTGATGCAGCTTTAAAGGAAACACCCCAAATAAGTCATCTTGTAAGACATGCTTGTCAGGATCAGTGGCATATTCTTTTCAGAATGGGGCCCTGGAACTCACATAGAGAAACCTGTGACATTGAAGGTCACACACCTTGATCGTTTTCTTTAGGGGTTGCAGAACTGCATAACTCAAATCCATAAGTTGCTGTGAGAAAGATGCATGTTCTCAGGATTGTAAATTGTTTGAGTTGGGTTGATTCAAGAACTTTTTCACAGCACTCAGGGGATTACCATGAGTGCTTTGTCCGCATCTTTATCAGCCAGCGCAGAGTTCCAATACTAACAGTAGCGGTCAGATTATATGTCCATCTTGTCTTTACTTTGAGTGTTTGAGTACAGAATTTTAGGTCAATTGCTGGTGTAGTCAGATGTTAATTTTAACAAATAGTAGAATGTAAACTCACAAAATAGTTAAATGTTGAAGATAGTATGTATGGTTAGTGGTAATATCTGCTGTTTATTGTATGTGCTTCATGATTTAGTGTTGATACCTTCATAGCCACATCTGTAACCTATCTTGTTTGACAACACCTGTTCAGGTGTTTACCCCAGAGTGCAAGACCATCTACCTGCGTGTGTTCAACTTCATGTGGCGGGCCAAGCGAATGGAATACGTACTGGCTCAGATCTGGAAGAACCAGTTGTGCGGCGGTCGGCAGCTGAAAGCCATCCCGGAGCTGGCTCCCATCCTGCACCAGTGCCACATGATCACCGGCCAGCATGGTGCACTTCATGAAACAAGTCCAGTACTACATCAACTTTGAGGTTGGGATGTGTTTGGCTCAGCTGATATTTGTGTTGGCATTTGTCTTGTCTGTGTACTTGGTTGGGTTGGGGTTTGTGTTGAGATGTCACATGGAGTTGGTTGAGGTTCAGGCTGAGAAGACATACCTGTGATTGATTAGGTTGAGGTTTGTGTTGAGATTTGTCACAGTCGTGTTTGGGTGAGATTTGTGTCAGTCACAGTCGTGTTGGGAGTGAGGTTTGTGAGGCTTGTTTGTGAGTTGATTTGTGTTGACAGTCATCGTTTTGGGTGAGTTGAGGTTTGTGTTGAGATTTGTCACAGTCGTGTTTGGGTGAGTTGAGGTTTGTGTTGAGATTTGTCACATGTTTGTTGATGAGATGAGGTTTGAAATTGATTAGAGATTTGTCACAGTCATGTTTGGTTGAGTCGAGGTTTGTGTTGAGATGTCACTGGGATTAGTTGAGGTTTTTGTTGAGATTTGTCAGTCATGTTTGGTTGGGGGTTCAGGTTTGAAATGAGATTTGTCACAGTCATGTTTGGTTGAGTTGAGGTTTGTGTTGATATGTCACATGGGATTACTTGAGGTTTATGATGAAGTGTCACACCTGTGATTGGTTAAGTTTGTATGGAAATGTGCTACAGTTGTTTAGTGGAAATGTGCCACATCACAGGCGTGTTCAAAAGAGACTAAAAATCGGCGCATCATGCGTTCATTGGGTTCTAGGCAGTAACAGGTTATGTGTGTGAGTTAATGAATATAAAATATCACAGTACAACAAAGTCCTTTAAGAATTCTCACTCCATCAGCACTACGTATCAAAGACCTAGTTTTGTCTATGTTCAAGTCTTGCTGATTTATCCAGTATTTTCATATAGTATTTTAAATGACAGCAGCGTGATGATGATACAGTATTCTGTGCTGCCAGGTTCTGGAGTGTGCCTGGGATGAGCTGCTGACTAAGGTACATGATGCCAAGGACCTGGACTACATCATTGCTGCCCACCAAGTCTTCCTGGACACGGTTCTCAGTCGGTGCCTGCTCGATGACAAGTCCATGGTGAGGGTCTGTTGGGTGCCTGTTGTTTTTCTGACGTTTGTCTCAGCTGTATCTCTTGAGGTGACATGCTAGCATAGACTGAAGGGCAACTCTAGGATCTTCTTATTCGCGTTCACCAGCTGAAAGTTCTGGGTGTTTGTTCACTTCTGGATATTTGTCTTGTTCCAGAACCTGAGTGTTGATGCACATCTGTTTCACAGATCTGACATATTTTGTATGCAGACTCTTGGTTCCTTACCTCTCAGGCAGATGTACTTTGACTTCAAAGGTTGCCCCCAGCTAGTCAACTTTTAGGACATGCTTGCTAGGAAGGCAGTGGATCTGTTCTTGTTCTCCCCGCAATGGGGTCCTGGAACCCACACAGGGAAACTGTAGGATGGGTGTAGATGACTGTGTTGTTGGAGTCAGTAACAAAGTACCATTGTCACGCCAGTCAGACCTTGGCTAGATTATGCTGGACTATATTCTTCTTTTTCTTCGCGTTCACCAGCTGTAAACTCTGGCGGAAAGTTCTGGTTGTTTGTCCACTTCTGGACTGCAGTCCTGTTCCACAACCTGAGTGTTGCGTGTGCATCCGTTTGACAGATCTGTATGCAGACTGTTGGTTACTTGCTTCTCAGGCAGATGCACTCCGACTTCGAAGGAAGCTTCCAGTTAGTCGACTCTTACGACATGCTTTTGGGTAGGCAGTGGGTCTATTTTTGTTCTTCCCATAGTAGGGCCCCAGAACCCACACGGGGGAGGATTCATATTTTGATGGGTAGTGTGACTGAAAATCAATTTGTGACCAACTTTCAGCACATTATCTGTGACCCATTTTATCCTGGGTCAGCCTAGGGTAAATTTTGTTTTTAATCTGCCGGGTGCAGATTGGAACTCGGGACCTTCAGGCCAGTAGGCAAGCATCTTCTTCTTTCGCTTTCACCCTTCACTTGATGGTTGGCATGATGTGTTGTGGTTTACAGCTAAGCTGTGATATCTGCACCTTTGGGCTCAACACATTCATTTCATCAGAAGCATTCCGACTTGAAACGAAAACTGCCTAAACAGTCACCTTCTACAACATGCCAGTTGGGCTTAGTGGATGTGATCTTCTGTGCCCTAACATGGGGCCCTGGAATCCACACTGGCAGGCAAGCATCTGGCCACTACACTAGGAGAAGGTAGTAATTCATTGAAATGGGTCACCTGATAGGGCAGTTTGTAGTTCACATTAGGTGTTATAGATCAGTATGTATCTGTTCGTCGGCTCTGTGGCTAAGTCAATGCGAACGCTTCGCTTCGTAATGCCGGGATGCCAGGTTCGATCCCAGCTGCGGGCAATGCGCCTTGCGTTGGTTTCGACAGTGGTATCAAGAAAGCCGACCGTCCAGAAAGCAATGGCAAACTGCTGGATGTAAATTGCCTAGAGAAACCACACAACAGCCAGGGGCTGTTAGGGTTGGTTCTGCACCGTCCTGTAAAGGATACGCAACTAACTTATGTATCTGTTCATGTGCTGGCGTTTTTCAGAATCTTCTCTCATTGTCTACATCTTTTTGTTCATTTAGCTTTATTATCACTGATCACAGATGATGAGGCTTGCCCAACAATTACCCAGCACACTGGAAACTATGAAGCTCTTATAAATACAGTGAAAGACGGGAATATCAGTGGTATGGGCATGTAATATAGTCTGACAAACTCTGAGAAATAACACTTCAGGACTCAGTAGAGGGAAAGAGAACAGGCAGACTAAGAAAGACCTGAATACAGAACTTAACTGACTGGACAGGCCTTAGCCATGCAACCATGAAGTCTATCGCATCTGACCGTCAAAGGTGGAAAATGCTGATCAGACAGCCGACAGCAACAGGTGACCCAACGACAAGCAGTGTTGCGGAATGATCAGTGATCCAGTTTTGCTGTGTACATAGTTCGGTATAAATCACAAAGAGAATGGTATGTTCAAGGTCTTCACTGGTAGCATAGTTCCTATTACCCATATTTCCATTGTGTGGCTTGTGTTGGGCAGTTTGCATTGGTGATCCAGTCACAGTAGCATAGTGGCTAACATGCTTGCCTGCCAGTCTTGTCATCATTGGGATAGATTTTGACAAATGTACCTAGACTCCCGGTCTAGACTGGAATGTCCTGAGAACTAACCTTACCAGTCACTGAAGGCCAACTTGGTCAATACAAATGTAAGACCAGCATGAAAAGCCCAGCTCACCTCAAGAAGGTGTTGTTATATTTCAGAACATAAAGTAGTGACAGCTGAAATCCCTCTTTTAATTTTAGGAGATAATGCTTCTTCTTCTTCCTCATCTTCCAAGCATTCACCGGCTGTAAACTCCAGCAGAAAATTCTGGTTGCTTATCCACTTTTGAGTGGACTGCATGCTCATCAGGTTCACAGATCTTGCTTATGGAGACTGTTGGTTCCCCACTTCTCAGGCAGATACACTCCAGCTTTAAAGGAAATATCCCTAATTAATTAGAATTTATAATATGCTTGCTAGGAAGGTTGTGGGTCTGTTTTTTCTCCCACAATGGGGCCTCGGAACCCACAAAAGGAGAAGATAATACAAATGCTAATGTTGTGTGGTGAAAGTTAACTTTGTTTTATTTCAGGACATCCTGCAGCTGTTGAGGGCGGTCTTTGACTTGATCATTCGGTTTCAACAGGAGCACCAGGTCTTCTCGGAAGCTGCTGCTTCCGAGATTCTGGCCAGAGAGAACTTTGAGAGAAGCAAAAAGGAGCGAGTGCAAAAGGTAAAATTATAGATCGCAAGAAGAACTGTTTTGTGGCATCTGTGCCATTGATGGTGCATATGCAACTAAAGTTACTTGGGTATTAGCAGTTCCATAGCAAATACAGTTCCATAGCAAATAGTCCCATAGCAAATACAGTATGAAATAATAGACCATAGGTTTCCAGACTTTTCAGATTGGTCACACACTTTTAAGGCAAAAATAATTTTGTGACACAGTAATTCATTCTACTAGCAGACAAGAGTTTAAACTAACCCCTTACAAGAGAGAGAGAGAGACACACACACACACACACACAGAGAAAGAGTAGAACTTGCTTATCATGAATTCCAAAGGACTGAAAATCTAATCTGCATTAAACAAAATTGTGCTAACTGGGGACTAATCAATAATACTACATCCCTGCTGGGATGTTTACCTGGTGTTCTTCTTAAGAGAGTTCATTTTGACTGTACTATATATACATTGACGTGAGCAACACACTCTGACTACAACTGGTGTACAGTTTGGAAAGCTCTGTGACAGACTAAACATTCTTGGCTATGAAATATGAGATGCGGTTAACCAGTTCCCTTGCTCATAGCTTTTCCTTCTCAAAATGTTGCGGTTTTATTTGTTAGCAACTTTAAATAGTTTACAGTAGCACTTGCATTCAAGTCCTGTTTATACTGACCAGAAGATTTCAGTTACATGCATGAAAAGAAAATACAGACTAAAGACAGTGGTACCTTAGTATGCATACTCAATCCATTCCTGGTCCTTGGATGTATACCAAAATAGTGTGTATATACCAGATGAATTTTCCCATAAGAAGTATCAAGAGAATGATTAATCCTTTCTCATTGAAAAAAAAAATATCCTATTGTTATTGCTATATTAGACACTGATGTGGTTGTATAAAATAATGTATGCACTGTCTAATACTAAAATATGTAAATACAAAAGCAGTTAGATGAAATAAATAAACAATATCCCTGACTTTACCTTCCAGAGAAGAAACAAGTGCCTACTAGGATCGCATGCTGCTGTGAAGGAAGGAGATGTTATTGTTTAGACGGGTCCCCTTTCTATAAAACTTCAGAAATCAAACAATCTTGTGTTTGTTTGTTTTTCTTCTCTTTTTGCTACTTGGACCTGTTTGAGGCTCACCAAGTTTGACTTTTACTTTTAAAATTTTAAAAATGTCTAAAGAACTGTGATCATTCCAGACAATGCTATCACTGAATGTTTGGGTTTGATTTGATGATAGTTCTCTACAAAGTTATTGACATCTATCCGTGGCTGTCTCGTGAGAGAGAGATAAACAGAGAGTACGGTCTCGTGACTAATTTGGACTCGTACAATTTCTAGCCTGCAGGCCAAATTTCAAACAGAGTCATATACCAAGCAAACTTTTTTGTGTGTCTCAACATCTGACGCATATGAGGTTTAACGCATACTAAGTGAATGTATACCCAGACACCACTGTAATTGGAGAGACTGAGAAAAAGAAAACTGAGCACTTGTAGGCTGACACGGAGTGCAGCGATTACGGTATTATTAACGTCTTTCTGGAGCGTGCAGAACTTTTTTGGGGGGTATTTGAATTGATGTGCCATATTTGCATCTACCCAGGGGACCTGGGCGCTGACCGAAGAGATTGAGAAAAAGGAGAGAAGCAGACGAGCTGTCTTCCTGTCATCTGTGATCCCATCGACTGGAAATGGGCTTCAGATTTTGTTAGATGTTTACCAAGTGAGTTTGTTGTTTGTGCTGAGTTTCTTGTTTTGTTTATCAGGTCAGTCAGTTTGTTGTAGTTTGTTATTGTTGCATGTTTACCAAATGAGTTAGTTTTGTTGTTCGATGTTTACCAAATGAGTTAGTTTTGTTGGTAGATGTTTACCAAGTGAGTGAGTTTTGTTGTTGGATGTTACCAAATAAGTTTGTTGTTCATGCTGAGTTTCTTGTTTTGTTTATCAGGTCAGTCAGTTTGTTATTGTCACCTGTTTACCAAATGAGTTAGTTTTGTTGTTGGATGTTTACCAGGCAGACTACTTGTCAGATGTTTACCTGGTAGACTACTTGTTGGATGTTAACCAGGTAGACTACTTGTTGGATGTTTACCTGGTAGACTACTTGTTGGATGTTTACCTGGTAGACTACTTGTTGGATGTTTACCAGGTAGACTACTTGTTGGATGTTAACCTGGTAGACTACTTGTCAGATGTTTACCTGGTAGACTACTTGTTGGATGTTAACCAGGTAGACTACTTGTTGGATGTTTACCTGGTAGACTACTTGTTGGATGTTTACCTGGTAGACTACTTGTTGGATGTTTACCAGGTAGACTACTTGTTGGATGTTAACCTGGTAGACTACTTGTTTGTTTTACTTTTGATGTGAGGTCAAGGGAGTTGTGAGCCTGAGAATTTAGGGCCCTATGGCTGGGGTAGTTGCCACAGACTGTGCAGATGAGTTTATTTCGCTCCTGTCGGGTTAAACCATCACCTTACCAGGGATTCGAACCTAGGTGTCCTGCATGAGAGCAGAGTTTTCCTAACCATTCGGCCAGCTGCTCCTCATATCCAGTACACATGGTGTAAAAGGTCTGCTTTTCTTTACCTATGAAAGAAATGATGTAAGAATGAAATGATGTATGAAGGGAGGGAGACTAGAAGAGCAGAAGGTTAGACAGGCCTGCCTACCCAGTTCTTAACTCTTTGAAAATAAAGTTTGTTCATACCTACCTCACTTCATCATCGTCAAGTGCCTTGCTGACTGGTGTAGGTGATCATGTCTCTCCACAGCGTGTGATCTTCAACAGCATGTACCAGTTTGTTTGCTCACACCCACACTCACCATATGCCACAACCACACCCACCATGCCACAACCACACCCCACACTCACCATGCCACCACACCCACACCCCACCATGCTACAACCACACCCCACACTCACCATGCCACAACCACACCCCACACTCACCATGCCACCACACCCACACCCCACCATGCTACAACCACACCCCACACTCACAACCTCACCCCACACTGACCATGTCACAACCAAAGACTGTCAATAATCCTTCCAGGTTATGTTCTTCCTCTCTGTTTCCACAGATCTTTCCAGTGGCCACAAAATATTTCACTTCCCTCCTCATAACATAACATCCCCCCCCCCCCCCCCCAAATGACTGTTTAATTCTTATGTTGTCTTCGGGCTTCAGAACGTCCCTTTATTTCCCTACACACACACACACACAAGTATTGAATATATTCCTACCCTTGTATACTTGGCTGATTTGTACTGGCTCATTTTCACTGGCACAGGAATTGAGCAAGTATGGGGATAGCCAATTGCGGTGATGTTGAAAGCTTGACTAAGACTTGGCTCATCATGTGCTTCTCTTGTACACAAAAAGTATATCAACAGATTTGCATCCATAAATGATGATTTTCTGGTGTTTCTTCCTGGCAGGACACAGTGAAGCAGTTCCTGGCAATGGCTACCTGCCATCCAGACGCCAGCCTGCGCTACCTCTGCTTCCGGCTGGACTTCAATGAACATTACAAAGTTCGAGAACCTCGTGGGAGATTGTCTTACTTACGATCAAAGTAAACCAGAAGTTGGAAGACTGCCTTGCGATCAAAGTAGACCAGCCATTTAGAGTGTAGACATTTGCTATTTAAATCATTTTGTCAAGATACTATGACACAAGGCGGGAGGTGCACCACATAAATAAAGAACAGATCAGGAAAGCAAAAACTGCATTTTATTAAATCAGCATCTAATGCAGTAAATCCCTATCATTGGAAGTTAGAATTCTGGCATACCACATTGTCTCTGTTGTAACACAGGGCTGTGAAAACCTAACAGTTAGAGTAACAAAGCAACCCCTTAAAAAAAACATGTCTGTAATCCTTTGAAGCCAGAGATGTGTTTTACACAAAGCTAAAAAATGCTGGGCAGCCAGAATGCAAATAACCAAACTATTTTGAAATAAGCTAAAACAACAAAAACCCGTTATCATAAACATCAGAAAGAGACAGTTGTCATTATTTTGCTGAGGAGAAGAGGTGATCTGAAACTAAAATTTTAATTGGGAAGATTTACAGAAATAAACATAGGGAAACATTAAGGGAAGATCGTTGACAGTGTTTCATCACAGCGTTAAGGGATGTCAGCATTCCGTTGGAGCACGCTTGGCAAAGCACTGATTGACATTAGATAGTCTTGTATTGTTTTCTGGATACGAAGTACATAAGTCTTACTGCTGATAACTCTCCTCCTATGTACACATACCACTGATTGTGCCTTACTGTTGTGGTTTATTTATAAGACCACATATTGTCACTGAGACCTCCAGTGTCCAAATTGTTTCTCAAAAACAGGACTGAGGCCCTGTTAGGGTATATTTTTGGCCTCGATAATTTGGCACCGTTATTCGGTAGATAGCCGAACTTCTGCCCCATTCACTAAATTAATTGCACTTGGCCCTGAGTGGCTAGTGTGCAGATATGAAGTACCCACTTCACTGATAAACTTTATCACTGAGATGGGAGAGCTAGCCAACTAGGGTGTGAAAGAAGACCATCATGTTTCACACCAGTTTGGAGGTGCATGCTTCATAATAAAATGCAAAAGTGTTTGACTACACTTCTTATTCGTTATATGTGTTTAGAGCCGTTAAAAAAAAGGTTTCTTTCTTAGTTCAGTATCTTTTGTTGGTTTTCTTCTTCAAGTTTCTCAAATCTCTTGAAATTATTTGTTGTATGAAATACTGATAGCTGTATGTAAATTAAGAAAAATAATAAAGAGCACCACAAACATGATGGAAGGTTGACTTTGAAATGGTGAGTCAGTCTCAAGAAATGAGTTATGACTGTTTGTTGTTGGGTCACCGTTGCTCTTGGACTCATCAGCTCCCTCCACTAATGCAGGTCATGTTTTTGCATGTTCGAAGCCTGTCTGTCCTTGAGGTTTCTACACCCCATACAAGAAATCACCATATTAGGACATCTTTAACACTGTTTCAACTGTTACCCACCTTGGGGGGGGGGGGGGGGGGGGGGGGAATTCCATGGGTAATCATTTTAAAAACCATATGTTGTGCCATTAAGGCTGTCCACATTTCACTATCCCTTGTGATCACAGATCAGATCAATGTTCTTGCCTCACCACCATACGTACGTACAACCAGGCCATCCAAGAATTTATGTCTTTCCCTTGCTCTCTCCCCATCAATCTTGCCAGTTGTCACCAAGTTCTTGAGTCCATTCCTTTCCATAACATCTTTGAAAAGCACGGTCTTCATGTAAATGTTTTTTTCTAATCTTTCATCTGTCTCGAGGCTGAGTGCCTCATTTGTTTTCCTGTCATTCCAAGAGATTCTTTGCATTCTTTAAAAAATAAAACTTCCATCTCTTCTGCGAGTAGTCGGCTCTGTGGCTAAGTCGAAGCGAACGCTTCGTAATGCCGGTATGCCAGATTCGATCCCAGCTGCAGGCCTTGCGTTGGTTTCGTCAGTGGTATCAAGAAAGCCGACCGTCCAGAAAGAAATGGCAAACTACTGGACATAAATTTGCCTAGATAAAGTTGGTTCTGCGACATCATGTAAAGGATACGCAACTAACCTTCTGCAAGTATTTTTCATCTTGCCTGCTTGTTGAAATATGTATTTTAAAAAAACCTTAGCTTCATATAACATTTGTCTCACTGCACCAGTCATAACACTGTCTGACACATATACATACAAACATGAGGGACTGCTGTACACACAACAGCTAGCTTTTCAACACAGCAGTTTGATCATTTATTACTGAAGACACACATTAGTGATACAGGATATTATGGGTTAGCTACACTCAACGCCCCTCCTCAACGCCCCTCCCCCTCCTGGGTGGGGCAGCTTACTGGTAAACGTGCAAGGGTCTGTCCTTTTGCAAATCACAACAACACCTACGTTAACTAGAATACTACATTTAACATTATATTACTTCTTCATAAATGACTTTATATACTAGTATTTGTATATATTACTTCATATTCACACAATATTTCAAATGTTATCACAAAAAATATCACCTCACTGCAGAACTATCACAAAAATATACACATCACCACATATATAAATACCATTAGATATCTGTGTATATGGCTGTCAGAAAAGAACTGGAACCTTAACATATCAACTAAAGGGGGAAGGCACTATTCTCATACTGGTAACAACTGTTGTGTATGTGTGCACAAGTGTAAGTGGTTGGTGTGTAAACACAAGGAAATCAGTTCATCACTGCACTACAAATGATTATAGAAATAATACTGTGGAATAAATGCGTACATAAATATTGACAAAAAATAAAACTTCACGCAAGCTGACAACAAAACAAAGGATTAATGGAATTAAACTGAAACAACTCATTTTAGAAGCTTAATTTGGTTAAAAATAGAGACCTCCAATCAGATTATTTGAATACTCTAGACAAAAGTCTCGAAGGATTACATCAGTCCAATGGGCTCTCATTTTAAATGTACAGCCCAGTTTAAAAAGCTGGGCCTCAATTTGAGAGGAGTGAATTAGCCAAACAGCGGTTTAACATTTCACAAGGAATAAATCATTTAAACAGTGGGTCCACACAGGAGCCACGGCAGTGTAGTGGCAAGATGCTCACCGATATTTCTAGTGAATATAACCGACACTGTTTATGATTTGTTATCCTGGATATGGGATTATTCCCAACTCTATGTGAAGAAACATTTGTACCACATGGAAATGTTTTATTCTGTCTCTTTAATTTTAGAGATGTTCTAGAACCTTCTAGTTACCAAATACTGTTTTGCTCAAGTATGTTTCAGCATCTTGAGGTCGCAATGAAATACTTAATGCCCACGATAGACTGTTATTCATTGAGCAACAGAAGGGAATCTGTTCTGTTGGTGCATCAAAAATGGTTTGTCTTATGGACAGAAGGTATTTTGTTGCAATTCAATAATTACAATGAAACCCAAAGATGTACAGTCAACTCAATTACAATTGAACCCAAAGATGTACAGTCAACTCAATTACAAGAAACAATACTTGTCTGACCCTGACCAACTTATCAGTTGCCAGTTTTGGACTACAACAAAATACACTGCTCAACAGTTTGAGAATGTAATATTAATATGCATATTTTACACACTTTTATGTTTTACAGTAACTCCATAGATTTTTTTTTAAAAAAAAAAACAGTTTCAGCAAACTGTTTTACACACATCTGTAAATACGCACTAGATTCATGATCTGCTGTTGGGTTGTAGGGAGCAGTGGACAATTTCCATTAGCAGCTCTTAAATATGACATTGTGACCTTTATATTCATTCAGAACGATTGTGCACATGTGACCTTAACATACATTTTAGAATGATTGCCTGCACATGTAACCTTTACATTCACGGAGGATGATGGCCAATTTTACATAAATTTATAATGAATGCCAGAACATCTGACTGCTCAACAACAGAAAAGTGATACACAGGAAAAATACTATAATGATATGTCAGCAATGAATTGACTCAAACATTCAAACAAACGCACAGACAGCCTCCACTACCCAGCATCATCATCTCGTAGTAATTATTGGAATATATGTCACATACAGCCAGTCATACAGCACATACATCTAGTCAGACAGTACATACAGTCAGACAACACACATAGCCAGTGAGTCAGCACAGCCAACCAAAAACCACAGAGTCAGACAGCACTGCACATATAGCTAGTCAGACAAAAACATGTTCAGACAGTACATTCAGTCAGACACCACACAGAGCCAGTCAGACAGCACATACAGCACAGCCAACCAAAAAACACATACAGACAGTACATACAGTCAGACAGCACATACAGCACAGCCAACCAAAAAACACATACAGACAGTACATACAGTCAGACAGCACATACAGCACAGCCAACCAAAAAACACATACAGACAGTACATACAGTCAGACAGCACATACAGCACAGCCAACCAAAAAACACATACAGACAGTACATACAGTCAGACAGCACATTCAGTCAGACACCACACAGAGCCAGTCAGACAGCACATAAAGCACAGCCAACCAAAAAACACATACATACAGTCAGACAGCACATACAGAACAGCCAACCAAAAAACACATACAAACAGTACATACAGTCAGACAGCATATACAGCACAGCCAACCAAAAAACACATACATACAGTCAGACAGCACATACAGCACAGCCAACCAAAAAACACATACAAACAGTACATACAGTCAGACAGCATATACAGCACAGCCAACCAAAAAACACATACATACAGTCAGACAGCACATACAGCACAGCCAACCAAAAAGCACATACAAACAGTACATACAGTCAGACAGCATATACAGCACAGCCAACCAAAAAACACATACAAACAGTACATACAGTCAGACAGCATATACAGCACAGCCAACCAAAAAAACACATACAGACAGTACATACAGTCAGACAGCATACACAGCCAGTCAGAAGACATAGCCAATGGCGGATCTATTGAACATCTGCGCATGTGCAAACAGAATCAATGCTCTCATTGAGGATTCTTGTAAGCTAGTCACTATAG